TAAATGTACGTTAAATCATTTTGCAAGAGAAGGCATCATCCTGCCTAAACTCTGAACATGATTTGTCTTCTGATCTTTGATTTTTAATGTACTGAGTAGTGTGCTGAGAACTTCAAAGGGGAAAAAAATCACAAAAAGAATATATTAGAAGTCTTAATATTATGAAGTATAAATTAACCTAGTGTTGTGAAATATACTTACTACTGCTGTTTGTTAGCACACTTTAATATTCTTATTTAGTAACATTAATTGCATAACACCAGAACATGCACGCACACATACACACGAATCCTTATCATATCCAACATACAAAATGCTTGCTATCAGTTTCCTGATAATCTGAAGTTTTGCAGCCCATCCATTGATATTGTGGGTGCCAAGATTATAAGCATACACTCTGAAAAGTTATTAAAAATAGCAGCTTAAATACCTTCCTAAGAATTGTATTTTCCTCTATGCACTAGGGAAGGTAAATAAATTTGAAAATAAATTGGACTCTAATCATAGACTCAGTTTTCTTGTTGCTGAAATTAAGAAATACAGTAAAAATCCCAGTGATTATTCTACTATTTTGTACTGACCCCAGCTCAATAATATTAAATGTAAAAACAGATAGAACCACTGTATTTTCCATAGTAACATTACAGTCAACGTGAAAAACCTCACCAGCTATGAGGGGAGAGAATAGAATCTTGATATTTAAATTCATGATGTTAGACATGAAGGTAGTATATATTAGATCATAATACAGTTCAATAAATATGTCAGAGTGGTATACATTTCAATGCACTTCCTGATAAAATTTTGAGAGGCTGCCATTTTGATTGAAAATAGAAGACTTTGGGATCTGGACATTTTCCTGTGAGAGAAGTTAATTTCAAAGTTTAAGAATGTTTTTGCATGTAACTTTATTTCATGTGCAATTAATTTGCAAATATTTATATCAAACTATTAACCATGTACAGTCACCCCTTTTTAAAAATGCTACCATCAAGGAACATAAATGTCTTTGCTGGTTTTTGCTTGTGTCTATTTGTGTTCTGCCTGTGCCTCATGCTATTTTAATAAGACTCTTGACAACTCAGCATCTTGAGTGTTCAGCCACAAAGCACTCATATTACATATGTAAGTGTTCATCCTTTAAGCTGACCATAGTGTTAACGCCTGTTTAGTGAACTTGTTTTTCCAAAAGAGACTTTTTCTTGTTAAAATTATCTGAAGTCTAGACAGAGGCACGTATGTTTCTGAGGAGTAAACCTTCAATATAAGATAATTATGTATGTGATTTTGGCTCCCTCTTACTGAATTTCTGTGGCCAAAGGAATATAGCCTTGGAGTATATAGATCAGTAGAAACTAATTAGTTTAAAAGATACATATATGCTGGGGAGATGCCAGAATGCGAGTTTGTGACAAATCTAAAAGAGCAGTGAGTTTAATTTCAAATCTTTTATGTAACATTTGTCTGAGGCTCAATTAATATTAGCCAATCTCAATATTCTTCTTGTTTTTCCAGTCAGTTGTTTATTATCCTGCTGCTGCTGTTTCAAAGATGTTTTAGTAGTTTGTTAATACAATAATCATGTATTTATAAAAATGAATATGATAGATACTGTTGTTTTATTAGAAAATAATAGCAAATATAGTTTTGGAAAACAAATATATGGAGAGACTTCTATGTCTCATTTTCCATGTAATATGAGAAAAGTCCCACAAGATGTAGAAAGTTGATATGACAATTTGAAAAAACTTAATCTGTCTATGAAATATGAAATAAAATAAAATATGAAACGAAATAAAGCACATGAGCCATTCATTATTGATTAGGAGGACAAACTTCAGACCTCATCCCTTCATTTGTTGTTAGATTAATCCAGATTTGGGACATTGACAGCAATGTATTCAGAGATCCTGAAAGATATTTGAAGTCCCAAAAATATATCAATACATACATTTTCAGCCCCTTTGCATCTTATCTGTGTTTTCCTTTCACACATTTATTTTTACTTTCATGATTGTGGATCATTTGTGGTTGATGCTTAATCTGTTTGAAAACATTTATATAAAGCTATTAACCTGGACCATGTTCAGCAACATTTTCTGAAAACATTGTCATCAAGGAACATAGCTGTCTTTGTTTTCACATTTTCATTCTTTCAACTTTCTTGTATCTTAAGTGGTAAAACAACACTATTGTGTTTAGTCCATAGGTTTGGTGTCCAAAATAAATATTTTATGTTGGTTTAGCCTTCTTAATTGTACTTTTGTGATATAGCATTTATTATAGCATTTACTTCCTAAGAAGCAGAAGACATGACTATTAGGATTGCTACTTACTATTGTAAATTTATTATTTTTGCAGTCATTGTGCAAACTAATAAATTCCATGGTTGCCTATGTATTACTTGTTCCCTCTGCAAGCTTACAGAACAGAACAGAAGTATTTCAGTTGGAAGAGACCTGCAACGATCATCTAGTCCAACTGCCTGACCACTTCAGGGCTGACCAAAAAGTTAAAGCATAAACATTGACAGGCGTGGGGCATCGACCACCCCTCTAGGAAGCCTGTTCCAATGTTAGACCACGCTGTCTGTAAACAAATGCTTCCTAATGTCAGGTCTACTGTTTGCTATGAACCCAAAGGCTTTGTGTGTATTGCTAGCTTTCCTATGCTAAATTCTCACACTTTTAGTCTTATTCTTTCTCCCTGACACTGGCTCAATTACTTAGTGATGAGGGCTATTTGTACTTTTCTATATTTCCTTCTAAGTTCCTCTTCTGCTGCGTTCACAAAATGATCTAACAAAACTGAAAGTTTCAAAAAAAGCCACCAAGGCTGATAAAAGATATGAATCTTCTTTCATATAAGCAACAATTAACTAAGCTAAGGTTCCTCAGTCTAGAAAACAGTCAACTAATGGAGAATATGACTGAAGTCTAGAATATTATAAGGAATTTGGTATGGCAGGGCTCAGTTACTGATTTTCTCTTTCAATATCAGAATTAGGGGGCACTGAAAGAAATAAATGAATGAAATTGAGTCAAAGCAAATGAAGAAACAGGAGCCAGGTTTGAAACAAACAGAGGGAGGTAAACCTTCATATGCAAAAAGTGATAGGCCGAAATTGTTATGAAAACATATTGTGGATGCAACAAATTTACATGAGTTCAAAGGAAGATTGAACTAGTTCATGGAAGATAAGGTCCCTGAGAATTACAAAATGCATGGAAAAGACATTCATCTCATAACATCCCTGATCTGAAAGTTGGAAATATTAAGGGGAATTACTATATATTTGAAAATAGTTTACTCCCTAAATATTGACTTATAGCCACAGTTGGAGACATTTTATTTAAGTTAAATGAACCTCATTAATCACTTCTTATAATAAGCAGGCCTATTGTCTGTTAGGTCATCAGCCATATAAAATAAGAGTTCTGGATCACCAGTTGAAATATGGCAGTGTGTAATGCCTTTCTTTGGACCTAAATAGATTAATTTCGTGACTGACACCTAAAATCAGAAGCAGGAGTCTGCTGTCTACATGTACAAGCTATTAATATTTTAGATGTCACAGAACATGTTATCTGCAAAAGGCTGACAGATTGACAAAGGACATATATGCATTCTTCAGTTGAAGTCCAGATGAAATAGCTGAGGCTCCTTATAAAGGAATCTAGCTGCCTGTGTTTAGGCAACTGCAAAGGAGTTTGCATATATTTGCATACATGTGTCTGTGAGGGAGGTACCTCCTCATAGACTCTGGCAACTAAATTCTCCTGCTTCCTGGCCTTCAGCCATTTCTCTGGAAATGGTTGGGTCTCCCGGATAGATGTTCTATGAGATCTAGAAATCTACCAGGCTGTACCGGTATGCTGACATATGCAATTAAAACCTGCTCTAATTTGATAGCGAACAGAATATAGGGATTAGCATCCAGAGGTAAAACTCAATTGCCTAAACATAAACACCAAGAGTTTGATCAACTTCAGATGCTTTAGGTGTCTGAGACATCTACATGGGTCTGTCAGATATAGCACAAAATCTGCATAATGGTTGTACTCTTCTGGCCTGACATCAGCAAGATCACAGAATCACAGAATCATTGAGGTGGGAATAGACCTCAGGCAGTTTCTAGTCCAACCTCCTGCTCAAAGCTCAGTCAGTTATGAGGTGAGACCAGGTTGCTTAGTCCAATGGATCCTGAAAATTTACAAGGTTATTTACAGAACCTCAAAAGCCAGTAGATATGTATATACAGGCAAATGAATCAAACACTTAACATTTACAACTTGTGGCCTTCTTGGAAATGTAATGGAATATTCTTTCAGCTCTGTGCACTGAGCATCTGTTTTGGTTACTACTGATCATATTTTTTATGCCAATTGCAAAGATTACATTATCATCTGGATAATTAATCCTTCATTTTGCCAATAAGACAGCAAAACATTAGATTCAAAACTTGCAGAAATAAGTTCTTTTCTGGGTTTTTGTTGTTTTGGTTTTTGAGGGTTTTTTTTTTTTTGGGGGGGGGTTAATTTTTTGGGTTTGGTTTCATTTTAGAAATAAGGGATGATCCTGTAAAGTGTTAATTAAAATACTGTAGAATGTTGTTATGTTATATGACTGCACATTCAAGATGCTTGCAAAGAGATGCCTTGTGGATTCTTTCAGCATTATGTTGGAAACCATTAAAGATAAGTCAGGCTGTAGACTGCAAAACAATACTTAATTTTCTTCAATGTCTTCAGTAAGAGAGTAATAAGATTGTAGTCTTACAGGATGGTGAAACAATGATCTAAAACTTGCCTAGAGACTTTTAAAAATCAACTAAATATTTACTTTCCTGCCCCTCAAAAAAAAAAAAACCAAACCCCTACAAACCCATATGTTCTGCAATGAAGTAATATACTTACCCATTTTGTGATCTTCTCTCATTGCATGGTACTGCTTTTCTAGGGATTTCTAGCTTTTTTGATTCATGATCATGTCATTCACAGATCTTGGCTGACCTAGAAAACCATGCGCTTTTTAAGGATGACCTAGAATGCCAGAAGCTTATTCTGGAAGCCATGAAATACCATCTTTTACCAGAGAGAAGAACTCTCATGCAAAGTCCAAGAACTAAACCTAGAAAATCTACAGTTGGGACACTTTATGCTGTTGGAGGAATGGATAACAACAAAGGTATTAGAGGGTATTTGTTACTTTATAAAAGTTGTATATTGCATTTTCTTTATTAGAAAATAGTGAAATAACTTTCTATCCAAGACCGGGGGGGTAGTGTCTAAGTCAGTCAAGAAATGCTGCCAAGACTTTTGGTCCAATGAAAATCTACTGATATTTAAGGAAAAATATAATACTGTTAGAGAAAAACAAATTGAGTTTTGAGTTGATTCTTTGTTTAAAATGATTGCAATTTTCAGAAAGAATTTTAACAGAAAATCTAGTGACATTCATTTACCGTAGTTTTAGCTTTCTAGAAATTATGTTTCATTTATGAATCAGTCAAATATGTACATATCTTTTCTAATCAATGAAAAAAAAGGCAGTTTAATATGCAGCGTATTCCATCCGTAAGTAGTTATCTGAAATATTATGGATGATTCATATTTTTCCAATGGAGAAATTTATCAATCATCTAGAGAAAAAGCCTAGACAGCTAGCTTAAACTAGATCACTACTTTGTCAACAAAGGAAGGGGAAATTATTCCCATCTTACTGTGAAGAATAGTAGGAAGTAGTGGAAATTATATTAAAATATTTTGTTGTTTTTTATTGGGAATAAGAATTATGATTATGTGCTTTTATTTCTGGTAAAGAAGTATAATCCACTGATTTCTTGAATGAAATAAAATATTTCTATATTCCAACTAAAAGCTAGCTATGATATAAGCCTATATACTCAGAAAGGCTTTTATTATTATTTTTACTTGTAGTTCATTACAATTCCACAGTATCTTACATTTTCATGTCAATATTTAGACTGAAGAATATGCCTTCAGAAATATTAGTTCTAATACAAAATAAGATGTGCTTAAAAAAGTATAATATAAAATTAGATCGTCAGTATTTTGCAAGTCTGTTTCTAGGTGTAGGTATTGCAGTTGTTTTACTAAATAGCTGTGGCAATATCATCTGCAAAAGGACACTGCATGTTTTTCTCATAAAGTTACACCAATGGGAAAGATGTATGACATCTGTGCTTGTGTGAATAAGAAAGGTCGAGAGAATAGAAAAACGTGGAGTAAAGAACCAATACATATATTTTCTTATTATAGCTGCAGATTATTTTTATCCTTTCAACATTTGTAAATGTTTTTGTAGCTAAATGTTAGGCATGAATTTTCATAGTGAGCATTGCCTTTGGATCATAAAATACCTGAAATACAAATTTCTTCTTACTTAGGACAAATGGCGATGAACACTTTAAGTATTCAGGTAGCGAGAATGACTATAAACCCAATTTAGGTGCAGCTGTGTTTGTTCTAGGTTACTATACAGATGTGTTCATGGTTCACAAAGGAAATCAAATACAGAAATATTTAGGAAGACAGCACAGAGCGTAGCACTGTCGCTGCATCAGCGTGGGCCTATTTTGCAGAGTCGGGCCAGGCAGAAACAGTTTATTTCTGTAGCAGCAGGAGAGAATGCAGCATGATAGAGGTTCAGCCCTCTGTCAATATGAACTCTGACTCAAAATAAAAGTACCAGGGCTAATATACATTTACAGCAGATAAAAACTGCTTTGAGAGGGGACCTGGTATGGCAGAGCAGCATCTGTGTCGAAGACTTTATTACAGCTGATGTAATGTGTGTTCCCGATAACTCAGGATCCGCAGCCATGCGACCTTGACTTGCATCTGCTCAGCTCATCCCTTTTGTGATGCTGATGTGTCCTTGTCTAGCTTTTAGGCCCAGCGAGGTTTGCTTCCACACGTCAGTTCAGGACACCTGAGTGCTGGTTGCGTGCAGTCACTGTGAGTTTATAAAGCACGCCTCAATATTTGGGCCATGACATAATGCTGATACTGTATTATCTCTCCTCAATAATTAATAGTTTATTTTATTTTCCACAACTTTCTCCACTGAAATGCTGACGTGGATGATTGCGATTCACAGTGATGTATTTTTAATGCCTCTGGGTGTTTACTACCAAATATGAAACAGTTACATATAAGAACTAGATGACCTTAGCAAATTAGCTATTTATTAGCTAGCATACAAAACAGTGGGTAAGTGCTAGTATTATGAAAGTATTTGAAGGTTATGTGGCCCATCACATAAAAAGTAGCCTAGCATGCTAAATCAAGTTTGGTTTTGAAATCTGTTCTGTAGTTATCTTCCTTTCCATAAAAAAAGAGGTGATAATTAAACTCCAGCAGCCAGTGACTGGAATTATGCCTGACGAGAAAAGTTAATGCAGCATAGTGCTAACTACATAGAATTAAAAGGAACAAAGTTAGATCATTTCATAATTTTAATTTCCTTAATGTACAAAATCTCATTTAAATCTCTGTTTCCATACACCTTTGTTTATTTATTCTTTTAATTTGAAAGGCACACGTAAGAAACAGATTCTCTCTATAAGTTTACAATTATAGAATGAGATGTATTAATAGTTTAGAGGTACATGTTTTTGACAATGTTCCATTCACGTTATTCATGTTGTCACACTGACTTCTGTAGTTTGGATCATCAGGATTTAACCATCTAGTAGTATACAAAAGCTGTCTAAATGCACATATAAAGGAGGCTGCTAGGCTGAAATAAACAAGTAAATGCAAGAAGTGGTCATACACCACTTTGTAAGAATGGTAAAACACTGACTTCTTGCAGCTGTCTTGGGATCCCAAATGCAGAACAAAACCCATGTGACAGAACATGACGTATACAGACTATGTTAGTGCCATGGAAAATTCTGATGAGGAAAATATACTGGCACAGCAAGAGGAGATTGGTATAAATTGTTGAGCAGTGTTATACTGATGGCAAAATACTGACTGATCTCTCATGATGTGTTCTAACCTGTCTCACTACCTAGCAGGTAGAATAATAAGGAACAAGGAGAATCTGCAGAAAAAGAAAGCCAAAGAAAATAAAAGTGTCAGGGTAACCATGATCCAAAAACACTGGTACCTATTACTTTTGGAATAGTCTTAGATTAGTTCATCAAAGTGCTAGATTAGTTCATTATTTACTGGATCACAGTCTTTAAATAAATACAAGTGAAAAAGAAATGAAAAATTACATGAGCAAGAAAATGTGACAAGTCATTAAGAAAAAGTAAAAAGTTGATATACTGAAACACTGATATTAAATATGTGTTTTTCATTAATCTTCTGATTAGATATAAAACCTATCACAAAAAAATGCTCTCATGGTAAATAGCTGAGGTACATAGTTAGTCTACATCAAACAATATTGAAAGTCCTTTCATTATTATTTAGATATTTTTAGAAAGATCTTTGATATCATCACAGATATATTAAAAAAATGAATCTTTTGAAATGTGAAATTGTGAGGTCTCCAGTCATTGTTCCTTAAACTCCCATGTTGCATATTTTGCCTTTTCTTTAATGATTTTCAATCATTTGTAATATTTCTTTTTTCTTTACAAATATGGTTTATCAAATGTGGTTTATTACTTATATATAATTATTTCACAGAGATGTCATCTAACATGGCTACATGAAGTCACTTTTGCTCAGGTGAACTTTTAAGATATCCTTGTTTTTCTGCTTTCTTTTTTTTTTTTTTTTAGTTTCTAGCAAGACATTTCTCACAGCACACCACTTAAACCTTATTTATTTTAATTTTATATTTTTCATTCTCATATAGGGATACTTTTTAAATTCTGAAATATTGGACAACCTATTGTAATTACTGTAAATAAAAGCAGAAAAAGGGAAAGATCATTTTTTTCCTCTTGGGTAATTTTTCTTGCTTTTTTAAGATATGTGTCTGAGATGTCTATAACTTGAAAATCTATCTATCATCTCCTTCATCTTCAGTTTAGTGGGAATTCATTAAAAAAAAAGTAAATTCCATCAATGGAATGCCATTTCGTGGCATTTTGCAAGTTCTGGAAATTACTACAAACCACTTTGTCTTCACATACATAAAACATTTGACAGCATTCATTATCTATTCATTTGATGTACATAACTATCTTGAAAAAACATCTTCATCTTATTTGTATTTTCATTCAAAATATAGTCTCACTGAGTTTAATATTCAGAATGTAGTCTTTGTATTTGTATAATACACAAACAGCAAAACCCACTTAAGAAGGTATAGTATCTTCTTTTCTAAAAAAAAGGGAAAAAATGTCCAATGTGTTTATTACAGAACATTGCTCCCTGCTGTGCTTTTTGAAAAGTTTTATATAAATATGCATGCTTTGTAAGTATATATAGATGTATATATAAACTTATATATAAGTAATATGAATTATTGAGGTGTTCTCTTAAAAGTTGAGGCTATAGCGTGGTAAAATACCCCACCCTGTCTGTTGTGCTTAAACGGTTCCTTAATCCAGCAAGCAAATGAATTCATGGCTAGGGCTTCCTGCATTTAATCATAGATTGTCTTCATAATGTATTTTTGTTAAGCTGCTTTTTTTTTTTTTTTTCCCAAAGGAACTGGGTATATTTTCTTATTCCTATTCAGCTATTAGAATACACGTAAATAGTCCCATGCTTACAAACTGCTAAGAAACATTAGGAACAGCCGCTGGCCGCCTCAGCCCAATACTCTCCTGCCCGGCTGCTGGAGCCTGGCAAGGTGCCCCTGGGGACCCGGGGTCTCTGCTTGGGCTGAGGGATGCATCTGCCCTTTTCCCATAAGCAGGTTCAACCAGTAGCAAAACTAAGTATGTGTCCCAGAGACGGGCACACATGCACAGAGGACACGGTCACAGCCGGTCACACAGATGGCCAGAGGCAAGATGCTGCCCCAGCAGCTCCCACACCCAGGACTCACACCAGACACAGGCACAGACAGCCACGTCCCCTCCTCCTCTCGGGCTGGCAGAGGCAGAAGGTCACTAGTGCAGCATGCACACCACACTCTCTAGGTTCACAAGCACATACGGTTTTTGATGTTCAAAAAACATGTAGACATGGCACTTCGGGACATGATTTAGTAGACATGGTGGTGTTGGGTTGATGGTTGGACTTGATGAT